ATAAAAAATACCCCTATTAAACCGCGGACGCAACTCGGATATGTCGTGAAAAAACCGCGGACGCAACTCGGCTGTGTCGTGATAAAACCACGGACGCAACTCGGACAAAATATCATTTAGGGACGCAATTCGTATGCGCTGCATCTAGGTTACCCGCGACGTGTTATTACTAGGGATGGGCCGATACCACTTATTACCGATATCCGATATTCCGATATATGCTGCCGATATAAAACCGATACCCGATAATATATGGAAATGTTAAAACAACATTTTTGACAAAAAAAAACATGAGCCGATAACACCATAAAACCGATATATAATAAAACCGATACCCGATAATATATGGAAATGTTAAAACAACATTTTTGACAAAAAAAAACATGAGCCGATAACACCATAAAACCGATATATAATAAAACCGATACCCGATAACACAAATAATATTACCTAGAAAAGTGAAAACATTGATTATTATAAAATAATCTATAGTATTTGATTATTAATAACCTAACCTGTGCATTTGTGAATTATGATACTATCAATACTATGCTGATTGCTGATCGATGGGTTTTTTTTTTTTTGGTATCGGTTGAAATATCGGTTTTGAAAAAAAACCGATACCGATAAAACTGATATCTAGTATCGGTTCTAGTATCGGCCCATCCCTAGTTATTACCAACTTTGCCCACTGACATGAACATATCAATCTAAAAATTATATCAATATTTTGATGGTAAATCGTTAGAATTTGCGAGTATAATTTGCGTGTGATTTTCACAAATATCACAGGAAGTCGGGCCGACTTCACCCGATTTCGTCTAACTTGGTGTCAAAAGCTTTATTTCAATTCGCTAACATTTGCTAGTCTGGTCCCGGAATTTGCGAGTGATTTATGTCTGAGATACGTGCTTCAAAGTTTTGAAAGTGCTATACCCAGCTAAATCCGATTTCGTCATCATTGATATCTCGTCAAGAGATATTTTTTTATTTACGATAATTCGCTAGTCCCTTTAATACTTCGGAGTAGATTTTAAACGAAAGCTATAATGGTTATAGCAAATATTTGCAAGTCATCAATTTGGCACAGCAATAGCTACTGGTATAGCACTGATATTAGAAAATATTAACATATTTAGTAACAACGATTGTAATACGTATATCTGTTGAAAAAGAATATAGCAACTTGTTTTACATGCAAACACGTTATTTACCCAGATGATGATGAAAAAAAACAACGATGTGCCTGGAATCTAGGTATTTGATAATAGATGTAATATAGATGGTGTGTTGACGAATGCGAAACAATTCAATGATAAATAAGCTCAAAAATATTTATTACAAAAACGAATATCATTTTTAAATCAATAAATTTATTGCTCCGATGAGAATTTATATAGTAAATTGCTTTTGAATAATGTTACTATGTGAGAGGTTACTATATAAGTATACCGATTGCACATTTTTGATATCCGTTGTATAATATTCTCCGTTACACATTTACTACTGATTTTTCTCAAGTTATTTCCAAACTAAAATTAATTTGATTTTAACAAAAATTAAATTTTCAAAAAAAAAAAAATACACAAATCATTAAACTATTATTATTTATGTTCGTCATAATGTGTCACGAAAATAATTGAAAAATGATATAATTTCGTACGAAATTGCTTTACTGACGTTAAAAGTTCGCAAGTGAACTTAATACAAACATTACGGAGTGTCCCCTGAACAACGAAGAAAAGGCGTTTGGTTTATGGGGTTTGTAGCTGGTGCATATTGTTTCCAAATATACACTAAAAAACTGAAACTGCATACAATAATAATTTGCTTGATTTCTACAATTTTTTAATTTTTTAATTTTAATAATACGACTTACAGCCTACAGGAGTCCATATGTTCGTGAAAGTTAATTTTAATTGTTTTGAGATTATTGTTTTCGATACCCAGTGGTACTACGGTTTCTCTATATAAATATATTTAAGAAAACTTGGAAACAAATACCAATCCATATCAATTTGTATAATTTATTATTATAAATTTCAATTTCACGATATGCGGTAACCAGAAAGTATAAATATTTTATCATTATTATTATCAAACAGATCTATATACTACTAGTTGATCCCGTGCACTTTGTTGCTCGTTAAAAATTCCTACTTTATATGAGACTCGATGATGATAATGCGAGCTCTGTATTATGCCTACCTGCTGTGTATTGAGGATCCCGCTTGATGAGTACTTTATACAAATAATATGTTTTATTTTTATTTTGATTGCGGACACGCCGATGAGCGGCTCTAAGTGTAGCTCAGCCACCTTGGTAGGCAATGTCCTAAAATTCAATTGTATGCATGCATAAGCCTGTTCTGCCCTATGAACCACTGCAGGCAACCAATAAACAAAAAAAATACCAATTTTTACTAAATATATTTATATTTCTCCTATAATCAATAGCGCCCGTATAAAAACTAATATATTTCCTTCGTAAATCTTAAAATCTCTGTTTGAACTACTCTTCGGGTCGGACCTATCGGGTCCAATTGTGAATCTAAACCATTCAGGGTGTCACCCAAACTCATACAAAAAAATTCATTCAAATCGGTCCAGCCGTTTAGAAGGAGTTCAGTGATATACACACTTACAGTAGAATTATACATATAAAGGTGTGACTATATTATTGAATAATATGCTGCACGCCTGCACTCATGTTATTTTTTTGACATGTTGTTAATGGAATTATTATAATTATTTAAAAAATATTTTTGTATAATACAGTTCAAAATTTAAAATGGTAAAGTTGCAATGCTTTTTATGCTCGATCGTTCGGGTTTTCTTTTGTATTTCAATTTCTTTTGATACGCCGACAATTTTGCTGAATCGTGTCGCAAAAAAGGTGTTTTATGCTCAATCGTGTCTCAGCCGTAACACCATTGATTAAATATACCATAATGTATATTTATTAATAGTGATACTTTTTAAAATCACGATTTAAGTTATTACGGATCAGTGAGAAGTCCTTCTTATCGACATTTTGAGCAATATTTATTTATTTTATTATTGATATTCATTTCAACAAAAACCGGTATAACAAAAACAGTCACCCCCCCCCCTCCGTATTACGGGTTTTCGATATGCACTGGTTTTCCGGTATGCACAAGTATTACGGTACCTATGTACCGGTATAAGGTATACTGTTTCAGCAGTATTTGAGCCAAACCAGTATACCGAAAAAACCGTTAACTTAGTGTTCAACTATACATCATAAAATAGAATAATAGGTTTAGTATTTTGTGGGTATACTGATTACGATCATAAACGTAATCGTATCGAATCTTTTCGAATCCCAAAATATTTCACTGCAGTTTCACATAGTTAGAACACAGCTGGTATAAAATATTTAAAGACTAAAACGTGTATACATATTTTTTCGCTGTTTCTACTCATATTTTTACTCTCTCTTTTTCTTTCACTAAATTGAACTATACTGAATACTAACGTTGAAAAATGTTTTATATTGTATGAATTATGTATGTCATCAATTACCTATACCTATGCATACCTTTTTTTTCAGTTTTTAACCGACGACTCAGCGGGAAGACCTTCCGCGGCGCCGCCATCGTTTATTAATATCAAACATAGGAACGGCTCCCCAACTTACCTCCCGTTCATACATTTTCAAAAATTATATATTATAATTATGTATTTCCTGGACCTCTTCCTGACCTCGGACCGACCGGTGTCCGTCGCCCTTGAATTCACGTGCCTGTCTCCTTTTCCATCGTGGCAGGAGTCTCTGGGTTTTGGCTCGCGCCTACCATCACTCGTTTGTGCCTTAGCTCTGAGCGCTACTTACACCTGAGGGTGGAACTAATGCGACGACTGTGTACCGCCGCCGGGCTAGGGTCTTCTGTGGAACACCTACACCGGGCCTGAGGACCCGTACGTTTCTTGAGGTCCAGGATGACTCAATTAAGTGCCACCTGGGTACCAGACCTCCCACTAGGTACAGTGGTTTGTTGTACTATCTAACGCTGGTGCCACAACCACCACGTTTCAGCCGAGGTAGGCTCCTCAACCTTACGGGGCATCGCTTCTGATCTTCAAGCCGTTGGCGTTGAAATCACCGTGATGGTGCCGTAAGCAGACTAACTGGTCTGTATGTATGACTTAGGAAGACCCGGGTCCTTATCCCCCCTCCTTCCTGATAATCACGACCTCAGCTGTTTTCCAACAGTTCAGAAATTCCAACTTCTTGAGATACTCTCGCAAGACGTTGGTTAGCGGCGTACCTATAACACCCCAGCTGTGATCCCATCCAGTCCCGGAGCTTTGTTAGGGGCCATCCTCCAGACAGCCCTCTTCACCTCGGCCTCTGAGCCCTCTCGTCTCACTCTTCCTACACACTCTCTGTCAAAGACGGGAGTGTCCTGTCCCTGGGGATGAGACTCTCTAGAAAACACTCAGCCGTCTCCAAATCGGTTACCGTGAAGGTACCATCCTCGTGGAGCACAGCGTTGGGAATCCTACTCTTCGAAGATAAATTCCTAGCCCAATGGTAGACCGGGCCCCAGATATCTGAGTGGATGGGGGTATCGAACTTCCTCCACCACTCCATCTTGGCCCTCCTAATCTTTTTCAGGTGCTCTTTCCTGAGCACTCTGAATTGATCCCTATCCGTGACTTTATAGTCATTGGCACGCCTGAAGTTATTGAGATGCCTCTTGGACTCCTCGAGTGCAATGTCCCACCAGGGTGGTAATGGACTTACGGGAAGGGATGGAGGCCTCCAGAGACGCGCCAGAGACTCCTCTACCGGGCATACGTAAACTGCGCCCAAATGACCTTTTTTTTTGTAAGCTGCGCCCGAATTTGTATCTATGTTAAAAAGGTATAATGTAAACTGCGCCCGAATTGTTATCCATATTAAAAAGGTATAATGTAAACTGCGCCCAAATTTCTATCTATGTTAAAAGGTACTTACAAATTCAGCTGCGCGCCGTTTGTAAAATATATAAAACTTTTGAATTATTAAAGTCACTATGATTGTGTACTTTTGCAATTATATCACAGAAATTATAGTGTTGTCTAAAAATACCAACACGTTATCGAATAGTTATTGCAGTAATACGGTATCTACTGATGGATCAATCACTACATCCGGCATGGGGCTACTTAGTACATATCGTATTCAGTTTAATCAGTGAAGTCACGATGGCTGAACAATTCGTTTCGCAGCGCGAAAAAAGCTTGAAAATAATTGAAAAATTTAAATTTCGGAAAACTAATCGGCCTCTGAGTTCGGGTGAGGATAAGTGGCGATGTACAGTTAAAACTTGCACAGCATTTTTAAAAACGGTAGGTGATGACGAAATAATCACTGAACAAAATTTAAACCATAACCATAAATCTTTAAGTGATCAAAACCTCCAAAAACAATTCGTGACTGGTATTGTAAAACGCAAGGCAACTGAAGATATATGTACCAAACCAAGTAAAATATTTTGTAACGCTATTAAAAATTTGCCACTAACGGAACATTTGCAAGTAAGTGATGTACGTAATATAAAAAGAAATATATATAATGCTAGAAGAAAGACATTGCCTCCATTCCCTAAATCAATCGAAGAAGTTCAATTAATTCTTGACGAACGCGGTGTTCAAACAAATAGAGATGAGTTATTTTTATTAATAAACAACAAGGAGTTGAAATATGTTGTTTTCAGTTGCATTTCTAATTTAAAAGCTCTTGCGTTATCAAAATGGTTGTACATGGATGGTACGTTTTCATACTGCCCTAAATACTTTACACAAATGTTTACAATACATGGTTTTATCAACGGTTATTATATACCACTCGTTATATGTTTACTCTCCGATAAAAGTACAATATCATACACTAATTGCTTAAAATCTATTTGTGAATATAGTTTCCAAAACAATATAACTATTTCACCATCCGATGTTGTAATAGATTTCGAGAAAGCTATTCATTTTGCATGTAAAACTGTTTGGCCTCAGATAACGATACATGGATGTCGATTTCATTTAATACAGTCCTGGAATAGATGTATCCAACAAAATGGTTTGAGTAATGACTATAAAGATAAAAACAGCGATATTAGAAGGTGGTTAGTGAAATGCTATGGTTTACCATTTCTAAGCCCAGGAAGTGTATCAGAGTATTTTGTAAATTATTTAATGGAATCAAAGCCTGACGACGAGAGAGTAACTCGATTTGCAGATTATTTGGTAGATGTATATATAAGTGAAGAAGCTCAGTATTCACCTGAAATATGGGCTCAAGCATCAGCAGAGCCAACTTTAACCACTAATGCATGCGAGTCATTTCATTCTCACTTTAATTCTAGCTTTTATACTACTCATCCAAATATTTTCATGTTCTTAGAAAAGTTAAATGAAGTTCAAATAGAAACATATATTAAACTAAATAGTATAAATGTACCCTTTAAATACCAAAATTCTAAGACAAAAAATAAACGAAAAACGTTACAACATTTAATTAATAAATATAATAGTGGTCAAACTCCAATTGATGAATATGTATCAACAATATGTTTTTTTTGTCCTAATATTGTACTTTTTAAGATTATATATTTTTTAATTTTTAATTTTATTCTCAAACTCCAATTGATGAATATGTATCAACAATATGTTTTTTTTGTCCTAATTGTACTTTTTAAGATTATATATTTTTTAATTTTTAATTTTATTCTATTAATTATTGATGCTATATAATGGATGTAATGAATTAAATATATTAAAGATTGTAATTTTAGACAAGCAATTCTGTAATTTTGTTTAATTTGGCAAAAATATAGCTATTCAATTTTTAAAAGTTTAGCCGGGCGCAGTTTACATATTATGTAACATATGTCACCTTTTTACATTTGATAAAACTCGAGCGCAGTTTACATATCACCTTTTTACACACGATAAGAACTCGGGCGCAGTTTACATGTATGATTTCGTGTTTACCTGTACGTTGGGCGCAGTTTACAATCGCCGCCTCTACCTATCCGCAACTGCCCACCATGGTTTCAGGGTCACCGATGACCTTCTGGACCAGAACCCACCTAAACCTGTCCCAATCTGCTTTCCTAGTATTGAAGCGACTTATCCCAACCGCGGGTCCTTCCAACCCTGATCCGGTGCAGATCTTGAATCTGATGGTCCTGTGGTCGCTGTCGGTAACATCGAGCATTTCCCACTCAGAAACGGAGTTCAAAGGGATCCCCCGACCCCATCTATATTACTGATATACATATATATTCGATGTTCCCATACCCGGTCTCTCGTGCGCGTCGAGGTGACCTGGCTGGTTGTGCACCGTCAAGTGTTTCTCCACGATGAGGGATTTGACGTGGGTCCCCCGGGCTGAACCCGAGTTGTTACCCAGCCTACCGAACCATAGCGGTGAATGCGCGTTCACATCGGCACCTATCACGACGTCCTGGTTGCGTAATTTCTGCTCTACATAAAATATGCTTTTTCAGTATTTTCATCAATATACATTGTCAATTAGACTACATTGAGTACATTGTGATACTATTAATAATAATTACATTTTTTTAAGCTGTTATTACAATTATATGTTTTTAATTATTTAGAGTATCTATTGTCTGTAAATAGTAATCTATAAATATTATGTAGTTGTTGACCAAATATTTTTTTAAATAGATATATTGATCTATTTTATGGTAGGATATTATAATAAACACCATCTAAACTAGCAATCATATTCAAAAACTTCCATTAACTATAACAAACTATACTTCTCTTTCATGTAACCAAGTAATTTTTTGTTATTGAAAAATAGTTCATACATTCATGAAGTCTAACCTTTCATACAAGTCTGTTTTTTTCTTTTTGCAAGTAAACTATAGAATAGATCTATTCTGTGTGGATATACCTTAAAAATTAATATTAATTTAAGGTATAGTATTATTTGAGTAAATATATTGTGCATTGTACACGTCATGTAAAATGTGAGTGTTTACGATTCAATATTTATAAAAAGTTAAATATGATTATATAATTATAATTGCTATAATAATATAATTATAATTGCTATATCTATAAGCATATACTCAATTCGGTGGATCGCAACTTGCAGTCTGTAATGTGAAAGAGAGCGATTTGTTTTAACTCATTCCTGCATAGAGAGTTGGGATATTGTAGAGTTGTTTTGAAATAAAAAAAATTCAAACAATAAAAATTGTATTTTAACCTTGACTACTAATATGTAAACAAAATTGGTTAAAAAAAGCCTGTAAAAATGTAGGCACGTAGGTACTTATAAATATTAAATATTTGAATACTTATTGTATTTACGATTATTAATTTAATATACATGCGACAGTTATCAGCAGTAAATAGTAATAATAATAATAATCTGGCGCGAAATTCAAATAGGCCGATCAGAAGCGCAGATTTACTATCGTGGCTAGTTTCGAGTAGGTATTGTTAATACGCGTCCTGGTTGATCCTATCAAGCAGAGCACCTAACCTATCTTTAAAGATGCGCGTCGGGATGCTGTACTTGAAGTACGCTGACACGAAGACAAACAAACCGCCTGTCCATACCTCTTCCTGAGGCTGGCCACGGCGCAGAACCTATCTCTGAGCCCCTGCAGGGCGTCCACCTCGATGTCCTGATTTAGAATAACTATGGCCGCCCCTGCACTACCATCCCTACAGCTGAGAACCATTCTCATGGCGCCATAGTCGAACCCAATCAATCTTTCACCCGAGATCGGTACTTCCTGAAACATAGGTACCTCAACCCCATTAGCCCTGCTATATTCCAGGATCTGATCCGCAATGAAATTGTTCCCTTTCATGTTCAGTTGGAATACACAGTAGGTCGACGAGCTCATTTCGAACAGAAATCTGTCTTACGGGCAACCGTCATGGTCACCTTATGGAGAGCCGAACACCCTGCGTGCCCCGACTGAGCCACCAGGCCGCTGTTGGCGCTCTTGACTGGCACGCTCATGCAGTCAGTTGCCTTATGGCCCTTGGCCGCGCAGCGCCAGCAAGTGTCCACGGTTTTCGAACCCCTCGAAGCCCTGTGTCCTAAGCGCTGGCACTTGTAGTACCTGACAACGTCCAGGTACTCCTTGACCTTGCACTTTGACAACCCGATGAATAGGCTTTCTCCTACAAGAGTCTTGAAGGTGCTTGGTCTAACGGATCAGACCCACCACACAAGCTCACCCGTTTTGGGCAACTTCATGAAGAGGGGGACCTCGGTCTCTCAGTCCAAACCTAGCTCCGAGTTCTGCTCTACGATCTGACCCGAGAGCCTGTCCTCTCGAGTTCCCTATCCACGTTATTGATAAGGACGGTCGGCCACCTCGCGCTTTTCTCCTTCACTACCTTACCCTCCGCCTCCAACGTCTTCAGCGCCGCGTAGGTCGCCTTGTCCGCCGGCCTCACTACCAGGTCACACCTTGGTAGCTTCGCGGAACCGCCGAGTTTGGGCTAACCCCCCTTTACTAGGTCAGGATTAGCCGCTCTAAGAGCTTCCCTGAGGAATCAAGCATACACAGCGGCCAATACCTGCACGGTTCGGTTGTAGACTTGACGGGGCCTTTGTGCAGTACCGCCAGTCTGGATTCCTTCCATCGGGAAGGAAAGGTTGTGTTGGCCAGGCAGTTGTTGCAGACACTGAATAGGGTGTTTGGCTTCCAGGAGAATACCTTGGCTAAGACCTCCTTGAGGATACCATCAGGGCCAGTTGCCTTACCGGAGGGAAGTCTTTTTCAGGCTTGGGCGAGTTCGGCCAGGGCGAAGTCTTCAACGGTTTCGTCTATGCGACGGTGGGTCTGGTGGGTGAGGCTCGAGTGCCCCCCCCCCCCCAGTCTGTCACTGAGGGGTTCGTGAAGAGATGATCACCAATCTCCGATTCCATGCCACGGGCTTCTCAATTCCTGGACGTCGACGACCGATGCGTTTGGTGACGACTTTGTAGGGAAGACTCCACGGATCTGCACAGGTTGGAAAAGCATTTAGCCTAGGAGGATCTTATTGTCTGCCGCAATTCTTTTATCTTGTCCGCGTATGTGGTTCGGTGAACAACCAGTTGTTCAGGTGACTCTTGCCTTCGAGCTGCAATGTGGTAGTTCCATCACAGTCGACAGTACTCGTCGCGTAGCGCGGAAATTTCTTGGTTCTTCCAGTAAGCTTGCCTTATGCTGGGTGGCAGTGGAGCCCTAGGCGACATGCACGCGTCACAAGCAGATATCAAGTATGAAATGAGCTGCTCAGCGGCTTGATCGGTGGGCGTATTTTCGTCGGTAGCGGGCAGAGGCACTGTTGCCAGGTGTGAAGTTAGTGCGTCTATATTGAGCCGTCTGTAGGCCCAACCCTTGAGGCGTTCCGAGGGATCGTCCTGATCAAGAGTCCGTACTAACAGGGACTGGATATATCTGTGATCACTCGCCGATTCAACTTCGCCTATGACTCTCCAGTGAGTGAGTGTGAGGTGAGGTTGGCAGCGGTGGAACGTGACGTCGATTACCGATTCGGCATTTATTCTACTGTAAATAGGCTTGGTGTCGACGTTACTGATAATCAGGTCCAAGCTGGCAGCCTGGTCAGCTAGTTGGTCACCTCTAGCATCGTTCCGCACTGAGCCACATTTCTGGGACTAGGCATTAAAGTCGCCTCCGATAATAACCAACCAGTATGGGTCTGCCGAGTGAACAGACCGCTCGACGTCCCCCGAGAAGTTGGTGAAGTTAGTATCCGTGTCGTTCCGGGAGATGTAGCAGCTATATATCCTAATGCCCCATGACTGCATCCAGGCGAAGCCGCGGCCCGTCCCGATCGAGTCAGGCGCAAGGTCAGCGGTGGCCGTGAGAACTACTACACAGGTTCTGTTGATGCAGGCTACCCATCGGTCGTCATGAGTCAGGCTTCAGTTCCGTTGATACTAGGAGAATTTGGGCGCCAGTAGCAGCGGAAGTCTGTTGGAGTAATCTCTGAGCTGTGGAACTCCGTTGAAGTTTGATCTGTAGGCAGCGAATCATTGCAGCATGCTTACTCTATCTCCGCTGCCTACCTGCCGAAGCTGCGTTTGTGGATTTTGTCCGGTTAGTTTCATGATTGCCTTCTTCCTGGTTTTGCACATACCTGAATCTTGCTTATGTTCGTAACGCCTAAGCTGGCGCTCTCTCACACGCTACACGTCGGTCTTTATCCGCCAAACATAGTTTCAGTTCGTGTCCTGGTTCTTCACAGCGTCTGCAATTTGACGATAGGTCGGGCCTAGAGCAGTTACCACTCTGATGTCCAAAACCGAGGCATCGGAAGCACTTTTTAGGTTGAGGACGCTTAGGGCGGACACGGCACATTGTCCATTCAATCGGTACACGGCTTATACTAGAGCCAGTCATTCTGGCAGTAGAAATGTGCTTGGTCGAACCTGGTGGGACAATAACCGATCTCCATAGCCTGCCGTTCGTAAATGGCAGCTTGGTTGTCTTAAGATCCTGGTATTTCCGCCCGCAGTGCCGATAGGACCTCATCCTCAGTGTCACTGCATCGAGGTCAACCATCTCGACAACAGTATACTGGCTAAGCTGTGATACTCTTCCGACGGTGTCACCCAGCCTGGTAGCAATGGCCGACGACAACTTCTGTGCTGCTTCTACGAATCCAGCACCTTTGACTAGCAAGACTAGCAAATGACCATCCCTGGTTTACGCATGTCGTTTACCTGAGCTCCACCAAGTTTAGCTCGCTGTTCTGCCTAATTGCGTGAACGGTGACGAGCCAACCGCTAACTTAACTAAAACAGCCGGGGCCTTAGCCCTGTACTTGGCCCTTGTCATCAGAGGTATGTGTTGGCCCACCGTTCTTCCACTGGGAGGTGCTGCGGTTGATTTCCTACCAAAAACTTCCTTCCACCCTTCGCCTAGTCATTTTTGGCGGCTCACGAGCACCTGCCTTGCGTGAGTGACGTCTTGTTGACTCTTCCTTCCGGCGCTCCCGTTCGCTTTCCCACTAGTTATAGGTTAGTATATGGTGTCCTTTCCAACATCAACCATCTCCGGCCTGTCAAGGTCCCTGACCACTGGGCCGGTCGCCAAGGCGTCTCTCGATTTCATAACTGGGGCAAGAAATGATGACCTCAATTTCCCCTTTTTTGTTAACATCGGAGCCACGATGTCATAAATATCTTATAACATTTTAATGAGTCGGTTGGACTCTGATTTTTCTCCCCCTAGTCTTGCTTCGTTCATTGCTGATTTCAGCGAGATTTGATATACGCCAGTCCCCCCTCTATCTGGTTCTCGCTGTCCTCCACTGTGGAGGTATGTGATTCTATGGCAACCTTTCGTTTAAAACCCATCACTGGTATTTTGTCACCTTCGGTACACAGTTTGTCGGTCCGTCCGTTGGGGGATCCAATCTTCCCGACATCCAAAACACCAGATACAGTTTCCATGCCGTTATCATGGTCATCGTGATTGTCGTAATTCATACTTCTGCGGCTCAGTATTTATTAGCTGTGTATCACCCTGTGTGTCATATAGCGTTTAGGTAGCCCGTGTAATTCCGTATGCTATTTGTTTGGCGTCCGCCCGAGTTCGCGATACCGAGTTCTGCGATAGCGACGACCACCGCTAGCGA